CAAACTCATTCTCTGCTAGATTTAATTTCAAAATTAGAACATGGACCAATAAGAACTGAATTCATTAATAAATTAGAAGAACTATTAAGAGCAGATGAAAAAGAACAAGAAGAAGTTAAAGAAGTAGACATAAAAGAAATATATTCAAGATTTCGCCAACCAACCCTTGAGCTACACATGCAGGCACTGTTTGCTTTTCAACAAATTTCTATCTCGATGATGCCTTATACTTACCGAGCTTTCAATTTAATTTGATCTCTATATCAAAACTGGTTGCTTCAATGCCTTATAAGTTGACCTTTGTGTCTAACAAATGTTTCATACAGGATATGAACCACAAGAAGATGATTGGTACAGTTGAGTTGGAAGAAGGTCTTTACAAATTCGACAAGCTACTTTTTGACTCACCAACTCCAAACAAAGTTATGTTATCTCAAACTACAGTTGACTCAATTTTCTCTAATAATCTTAAATTCAATTGTAATAAACGGGCAATAGATTTATGGCACTATAGACTTGGACATCCCTCTGTTGATAGGTTGCAAATGTTGAAGCAATCTTATCCTTCTATTACTGTGGATAAACAATTTGTGTGTGAAACTTGTCATCTTGCTGAACAGAAGAAGATTTCTTTTCCTCATAGTGATTCTCATTCATTGACCCATTTGCTCTTGTTCATGTTGATATTTGGGGTCCATGTGCTATTACTTCTATGCATGGTCATAGATATTTTCTTACAATAGTGGATGATCACACGAGATATGTTTGGGTTTTTCTTATGAGCTCTAAGGCTGAGACGCAAAGTATACTTAAGAATTTTGTTTCTTATGTAGAAAGACAATTTGAGATGAAAGTGAAAATGATTAGATCTGACAATGGTTCAGAATTTATCATGCAGAATTTTTATGCAGAAACTGGTATCTTGCATCAAACATCTTGCATTGAGACACCTCAACAAAATGGTATTGTTGAGAGGAAACACCAACATTTGTTAAATGTGACTAGATCATTATTGTTTCAAGCTAATTTGCCACCTGTCTTTTGGTCTTATGCCTTATTGCATTCTGCTCTTCTTATAAATTGCATACCTAGTCCTTTCCTCAATCAATCCTCTCCGTATGAAAAGTTGTTTCAAACCTCATATGTTGTCTGTGCTTTGTAAGCACCTTGACTGCACAACGAAAGAAACTTGACCCTAGAGTTGTTACTTCTATTTTTCTTGGTTTTAAACCCAACACAAAGGGTTACATTACCTATGACCTCAAAAATAGATCTATCACAGTTTCTAGAAATGTAATATTTTATGAGGATTGTTTTCCCTATATCAAAAATAATTCTCCTAATCCTTTGTTTATTTTACCTACACCGCATAGACCTGATTTAGTGTTTCATGATAATGCCGCCAATTCTGCAGAACCTGTACAATTTCCACAAACTAAACCTGTTTCTATTGATGAAAATTTTATTCCAAGAAGATCCTCTAGACAGTCATGTATACCAAGCAAGTATAAAGACTTTCAAGTTACACTACCATCCTCAACTGTAACCACTCACTCTTCGGGTAAACAATATCCTCTTCACACTGTTCTTTCTTATAGTAGATTATCACCATCTTATAAAAATGCTATTCTAGCTGTGAGTAAGCAAACTGAACCTAAGTCATATCACGAAGCTTCCAAACATCTTGAATGGATTCAAGCCATGAATGCAGAAATTCAGGCACTCGAATCAAATCACACTTGGGTTCTTACAGAGCTCCCTCCAAATAAAAATGCCATTGGGTGTCGATGGGTGTATAAAATAAAACATAGAGCAGATAGAAAGGTACAAGGCTAGACTAGTGGCCAAGGGGTATACTCAGATAGAGGGACAAGACTATCTAGATACGTTTTCTCCAGTTGCAAAATTAACTACTGTCAGATTGTTGTTAGCTTTGGCTGCTACTCAACAATGGCATTTGAGGCAATTAGATGTGAATAATGCTTTCCTACATGGAGATTTGCATGAAGAAATCTATATGGTTCTTCCACCAGGTATGTATCAAGATAAACAGGGGATGGTTTGTAAGTTACAAAAGTCACTATATGGTTTAAAACAGGCTAGTAGGCAATGGCATGCTAGACTTTCAGCTTTCTTGTCTTCTCATGGTTATACTCAATGTGCTACAGATTATTCCTTATTTCTTAAGCATCACCAACAATCTTTTATGCTATTTTGGTCTATGTAGATGATATTGTTCTTACAGGAAATGACTTGACTGAAATCAAAACCATTACCAATTTGCTTGATTTGACTTTTAAAATCAAGGATCTTGGTGATCTCAAGTTCTTCCTTGGTTTTGAAGTTTCTAGAACCAAGGCTGGCATTAATCTTTGCCAAAGGAAATATGCTTTAGATATCCTTCGTGACACTGGAATGATTGGTTCTAAACCAGTGTCTACTCCAAATGATTACACCACCAAACTGCATCAACATTCTGGTTCTCCACTTTGTGACAGCGATGCCTCTTCCTATAGAAGGCTTATTGGAAGACTCATATACTTAACAAATACAAGACCTGACATCACATATGCAGTTCAAAATCTCAGCCAATTTGTTGCTCGTCCCACAACTGCTCATCAACAAGCTGCCTCTCGAATACTCAGATATATCAAAAGTTCTCTAGGTGCTGGACTGATTTTTCCTGCCTCAAACACTTTGCAATTAAAGGCGTTTAGTGATTCAGATTGGGCAGGTTGCCTTGATACTCGAAGATCCATAACCGGTTATGCAGTGTATCTTGGATCCTCTTTGATCTCTTGGAAATCGAAGAAACAAGCCACAGTATCTAGAAGTTCTTCTAAGGCAGAATATCGGGCCATGGCTAGTGTCGTTTGTGAACTACAATGGCTCACTTACCTCTTACAAGATTTTCGTGTTTCATTCATTCAACCATCCACTTTATACTGCGATAACAGATCTGCTCTTCATATAGCTGCAAATCCAGTGTTCCATGAGCGCACCAAGCACATTGAGATTGATTGTCACATTGTTAGGGAGAAAGCTTTGTAGGGACTTATCAAACTTCTCCCAATTTCTTCAGCAAATCAACTTGCTGACATATATACCAAACCTCTTTCTCCTGGAGCTTTTCAATTCTTGTATTCCAAGCTGGGAATGTCCAACATCTACTCCCAGCTTGAGGGGGGATCTTAGATATAGTTTGTTATAACTATAGATATAGTTTGTTAACAATATATTTTCAGTTTTTAATTTGACACTCAATATAAAGAGGCAGATAACTTTGTAATTCAATTAACTCAAATTCATTTTGATGAAACAGTTTTTCTTCCAATTCTATCTTTTCTCATTCTTTCTATGGAAGGTCTGTTTATGAAGTTTCACAGGTTTTGTGCAAATTCATTCATGAATTCCTATATGTTTGTTATAGGAAGAAAGAAAAAGATAGAAAGAGACCTCCGATGGAGAGTGAACGTGAGACTTATGGGTTCCATTTAGTGGCTTGGCATCTTTGTCATAGGAATTCGCTAGCACTGATATCATTCTACGGAGCAAGTTCCTTCTGAATAGGAATATTATAGAAACTCGTCTTCGTTCAAAGTATTCTACAATTTCTTCGTGATACGTCAACAAATCCTTTATTGAGAGAAGTGATGAGAATTTGGAAATTGAAAAAAAAAACATGTTAACACAATATAGATTATCAAATAGCACACAGTTAACCTTAGGAAAATGCTTAGATTAAATAGTTTTGATGTTATTTTTTTTAGTAGAATTAGAGATTTACTTTAAAAACACTTGAAACAAATATTTACGTTGATCATTAATACATTTATGATAAGAGGATATTTTCAAAAGTACATGAAAAAAATTTAATGTAATTTCTTGTGTATTTTTTATATTTCTCTCCAATCATCACAATATTAAGATAAATTATTGAAGTGAAACTTTAACTTTGATTGAAGGATAACACAAAAAAAAAACTTAAAAAAGTACATCTAAGTTTTATTTGGACAAACTTTTTTCTAAATACTTAAAAAGAAGAAAATAAAAAAGTAAAATAAATGTATCTTATCCCACAACTTAAAATCAAGTTGTATACTTAATTATTTTGTAAACACTTTCATCCAACGTCTTAAAAAATTGAAACACCTAAATTAAACTAATTTAGAGAAATTGAATTGATTTTAGTTTTTATATATTTTTTTCTATAAATAGTTGAGAAGTTTATTTAGTTGTTATATTATTTTACCTTAAGTTGTGTCGTTTGGTATAATGGTGTCTACCTGATTAAGCATCCACTTGAAGCCAACAGCTGCAGAGCACTCATTCTTGGAAGCACTAGAAAACCAATCAAGATTATACACCTTATCCAATGTCTCCAAAATCGTAGAAACGTTGGCCCTTCTTTTACCTACCGAAAATATTTCTCCGTTGGAGCTTACATTAATGTGACTGTTCAAAAATGTCTCAAACCAACCACTCCCAGATCTTTGCATTGACACAATGCAGAAAAACAGAACAGGATTGCAAGCACACTCTTCTCTGCACAAAGCACAATCGTCGATCATTCATTCTATAAATAATATACATATATAAACAAACCAACCCAATAGATTCTCATCAATATATAAGAAAGAATACGTTACCTACTAAAGGTTTTGGGTTCTGGATAATGCAAGTAAGGTACTTCCCATTGTCCCACCCCAGAAGAATGATTACATGGCTGCTTGAAAACGGTGACGTCTAACAACTTGGTACTTGGGCGTACACCTTTTTGCTCTAAAGAAATTGCGCAAATGTATATTCCACAAACCACAACGACAACTAAAACTACCAACCTTATTGTTAATGGAAATTTCTTGATGGATTTTACATCCACGAAGTCCTGTAAAACAATGATTAAACAGTTATAAGGGTGTAAAATGTAAAGCATGCACGGCTAACTTTGAAAAAATACATGATACCCAAGAGAGATAACCAGAGCTTACTTTGGTTTCCATCTAAGATCTCCGTGAAGAAAATAGAAAAGATCCAAAGAAAAAGAGTGTAGTGAAAGGAATTTCGTTTCATAAATTTTGTTTGAAATTCAAAGCTCGAGAGATACATGGCGAGAGAAGTGGTCAGAGGGTTTAGCTGGCTAATTACGCTTGAAAAAAAATCAGATTAACCTCCTATAAGCCATGTTTACCAAATCTTATATTAATATAAAATTCTTTAATACCAGATGCATCAAAATTATTATATATTTTTAAAAATTTAAAATAAAACCTTTTATGATATACTTAGAATTGTTCAATTTGTAAAAAAAAAAAGTCAAAGTAATGTATAAACATAATTTACCGGTTAAATAAGTAAAACAAAAATTATTGTGGGAAAGAAGTTATTGATGATGTAATATTCTCTAATCCTAAATAACTTATTCACCAAGATCAATAAAAATAGTTGAAGTAGTTAATTTTTATTAATAATATCATAAATTTATATTTTATTTCAAAAGCACCTTTGATTTGAATGGGTTAAATAATGGTTTCATTTAATGATATTACACCTAATTTAACAAATAATTTTTTCAACCAATGATTTTTTTATTCATAACAATTACAATGACTACATCTTAATTTAAATCTATAATTTTATCTATATCACTCTAATATCAGTTATTAGATAAATCAAGTGTAGCTTGTATAAATCCACCTATTTGCATGAGAAATAAATATATGTCCTATAAGTAGATTTCACAACAAATAAAAAAAAGTATAAAAAAAATAGCATTTAATACATCATAAAGTGGTGGGTCTATGTTCCTCATAAGATGAAGGCTAAGGGTAAGGTAGTCCATAAAGTGGTGGGTGTATGTTCCTCATATGATGAAGGCTAAGGCTAAGGTAGCCCATATTGATAGGTGGTCCTTGTGGTTTATTATTTTCAATTGTTATATTAATATCTTATACATGAATCATTCACTTCACATTATTCTACCTTCCTTCTCAATTATCCCTCAACAATCCTGCTCTTACTATATAACATGCGTTGGTGGCAATGGCCTCACTGGAGGAAGAGTCGACACACATTTCAACAAAGCCATCCACTACTTTCTCTACCTTCCACTCACCACTTCCTCCTCTAACCTCACCCAAAACAACAATTTATGTTTCCAATTTAACCAACCTTCTCTCAATCAAGCCACCTCTGATCTTTCCAATCCTTCAATGCTCACTTGTTCATAACGTCGACCAAATCTTTGTCGACTTCCCAATTGCTTCCATGGAAAACCATGCAGGACCTTAAGAAACCATTACATCAAAATACACGACTAAAACTGAAAAATTATATAAACAAAATTTATTATTTACCGTCATCTTCATAATTGTCATTATCACAATCAGTGTTGTTGTTATAATTATCATTATCTCCACTGTCACCATGGTTACCACAATCATTTTCTCCTCAAATCAAATCAAGAGTTATACTTGCTTAGATGATCGACTTTCTGACATATGCCTGACACCTTTGCTGTACCTACTTATTTTCTAGACTATCACTTCAAGAACCAAGATCAAGAAGATAAGATACAAGAATTCAACTTATGAAAGGTGGCATTTGTGCTAACAATCCAATATATGTTTCAAAATTAACTATTTCTTTTTATTATTTACATTCGATAGAAATTACCAAAAATCACTGGCTTAAATGGGTTGATATTTCTATACTTTAATCGAATACAAGGTTATTCTATAAAATTGTGATAAAAAAAATATCATTTTATTTTTATAAAGATGGAAACTTTAAACCAAATTGATAACATTTATATTCTAGAAAGAAAAAAAAATCAAAACAAGCTACATATGCTTATTTCTAATATGAATGGAGGACTAATTTTTATGTTTTTGAGGATTTGGTAATGTAGGGTTTTGTGGCAATGAATCAATTAATTAATGAAATTCCTGAGTTGTTTTCCGTGAAGCCAATGGAATATGGTCGTTTCCTGACAGTCTCTCTGTCTCTGCATTGGACCTCCAAGAATGAACAGAAAATAAATTTAAAAATGGCAGTAAAATGGATTGGTTAACCCACATTAGTTCCACAACATCGATCAATGCGTTTACTCAGTCCAGTGGGGATATGGTTGATTTCCATATTGCTACCGTCACTCAAGCATTGTATTCACAAAATAATTACAGTACCTCCGCATGCAGGTAATTAACTCTAATATTTCTCTTTTTTTTTAATGATAAAAACATTAATAATATACTCTTTGACAAATTGAATGAACGTACAGGAAGATACATTGATGTGCACGGACTCATCAATTGATATTACCACCAAAGAGAATTTGAAAAAATTTAGCCAAATTGTACAGGGTTGTTGAAGAAACCAGTATCTCGGGCCAATTTTAAGACAGGTCTGCTCGAGCCCATGGAATTTGGTAAATGGAAAGACCAATCAAGATGCTCTCAAAAGGCACATTAGAAGCTACACAGACAAATTCAAATTCAAGTAATCTTATGAGTCTCATATTTTATTCTAATAATTTTTATGATAATTTTGTAATTTTAATAAATTTTATTTAAGAAGAGTGATATCAAAATACTTTATGATCCATCCCTTCTAACATAATACAATAGAAAATATGTTATAAATATGTGCCATAAGTCATAAATACTCTGAATTTTTAATTTCTAAAAGACAATGAGCAAAATACCCAACGAATATCTTGTTTATAGTGAAAGCAACATTATTCACATAAACAATTCAAAAAAATATTTCAGCAATTTTCGAGAAAAAGCTACTACATCCATACTCTTTAGCAGAGTAAAACAAAATAAATTAATATTGGTGCTAGTCTCTGTTCACAAGAGAGGAGAGGAGGCTCCAAAAATTGAAATCTCCTCACTCCCCACATTGACAAGGCCTCAGACGTTCGTTGTTCATGAAGTTTGAGTTTCCATTCGTACGCTACGTTTAAGAGTTCTTCAATTTTGTGTTACTCAATAGAATTCAGTTTTTTTAATAGAGAATAGAATTTAGGTTACAATTTCATGTATTCTTTATTTCTTTTGTGTGTATATGTGCTTTTTTATTTTTATTTTTAATATTCATTATCTAGTCTCAAGATTTTAAATATAATGATTAATTAGTAAAATTTGAGTAAATTTTTTCGAAAGTATTTAAAAGAAAAGAAAATAGGAAATAAAATAAAATAAAATTCTCCATAATGCTGAGTTGTAACAGTAAAATATTTTGGACCATTCTGCAGATTGAGAATTGAACTCATCATATACGGGCCCTTAATGGGCCGTTTTGTTTTTGGATGGTTTTATTTTTGAAACGCCAGCATTTTATACTAGGTTGATGATATATACACCTCTTTTTTTTTTTTTATAAATACACCTCTATTTTTTATTATAAATACACCTCTATTTTTTATAAATAATTAATTTTTTTTAAATTTTTTTTTACTTTTTTTATTTTTTAATTTTACACTCACAACATTTAATTTAGTACTTTTTTTTACCCATCTTTCCTCATTTTTTCAATTTTCAGATGCACTCACTTACCTTTCTTTCACCTCACCTATTTTGATAGGTAATTTTAATTCTTTTGGTTTTATATTACTCTCTCCCCTCCTCTTTCAGTTTTCTTACTCTTATCTTCTCTCTTTCCGGTTTTAGTTTTCACACCCATATAAAACATAGAACTAGTTTTCAATAATATTATAGGTGTGTGTAACTTTCTCGATAATAGGTAAGAAATTAGAGGAAAACGAAATAATGCATGTAAAAACAAAAAAAGAAAAAAAATGTGTGAAAAAAAAAGTAGCAAATTAAAAATTAAAAATATAATATTAAAAAAAATTACAAATATTTTATAATTTTTAATAAAAAAAATAAAGAAGGTATACTTATAAAAAAAAGGAAGTATATATATGACGAGCCTTTATACTATCTTAGTTGCATCAAGATCAAAGAGTCTATTTTCAGAAGAAAAAAAAATCACAGAACTTTTACATGTAATGGAACGAGAATAAAATGAGATTTCAACTAGTAACTCTTTTTGGTGTTAAAAAAAAATAATTGTAACACTTTATCATTTACTATATATTTATTATATATAAAAGAAACTTTGACGTCCACGTGTCAGTATTTTAAAAAAAATCCCGCTCAAACTTTTATTTTTTAAAACAAAAATTTAAACCATTTGCTCTCAAAAAAAAAAAAAAAAACCTCTTCTCTCTCTTAATTTTATTTCACATTACTTTTCCCTCTTATCCCATTTTATTTCCTGTTGTATTTTCTTTTTTAAATTTCAAGTTTCAATATTATTTTTTGTTTTTCTTTCTCATTCTCTCATTCTCATGAAAAATATAAAATATAAAAGAAGTTATTGATATACATAAAAATTTTAAAAATTTTAAAAAATTAGATTAATATTTTAATAAATGCTAATATAAATTTTTATAAAAAATATTTTATACATTATTTCTATCTATATCACGAACCTATTTATATTTTATATCAATAAGAATGAATGTATTAAATTAATATTTGCGAAAAAATAATAAAATCACATAAAAATTAGATTATTTTTTTATCTCCCAATATTCTCATAACAAAATTTGTGCTATGTCTTTAGAAATAATAATATTTTAAATAAAAAATTCATCTTTTAGTACAAATGTAAATTCAAACATAGAACTTACATCATTCAAATAAAAAATATTTTATCATATTCTTTCACCAAGTAATATGAACAATATGGGAAATGTTTATATTACATTACTTTTACTTTTAAACATGACATTTTGTCGTGATTTAAATATTTTATTTTAAATTTAACTTCAATTTATATCATTTTTTTAATATTTTAAAAATAAACACTAAGATCATGTGAATCACAAAATAAGAAATAGATCTTTATATATCTTGTTTACACATAAAGATTATATATCAAGTTTCAGCATTATTTTTTTCTCTCATTTTCTCATTCTCATCAATATGCACAATATATAAGAAGTTAACGATTATAGATAAATATTTTAATA